AATGAGGCACTGGGAAAAATACTCGCCTACCAAAGCTTTTAAACTTTCTCATTCATAGAGCTTTGATTTTTAAGTAATTTTTTAAAACTGGTGAAAGTGTGCTTGTGTTTCTTCAGTTCTGAACCATCAGTTATTAGAATAAGTCATTGTGTGCTCAACTAATAATGAATCAGAGTCCACTTTTTTTTCTTTTCAGCACAGAATTCAGCTGAGCATAGCTCTGTTACACAAATCAACCATCATTTCACATTCTTTTCCTATTCACTCAAACTTCCTCTTTGTAAAAGGAAGTTTTTAAGAAATAAATTGATCTATTTTCAGCAGGTCCTTTATGAAGATGGCATTTTTAATAAATAAGAAAAAACTTAAATAAGGTATTACACACAGGTCTATTCAAGAGCATTTTGCACCAGCCTACAAGATGCTGAAACTCACTGTGTTGTGTTGCCCTCTTCAGGTCGACAGCACTTATATTTTCTAGTTCTTTTGCTTGACAAGTCATTGCATTTCAACTTCTTTCAGAAAAATTTTCAGATTTGCAGTTTCAAGTAGCAGCTAACTTTACCTCTATCCCACCAGTACTTGAAGTATTTTTTTAAATCTAAAATCCTACAGAAATAAACTTCACTTTTGGCCTCTACATCTCACTTTAATACTAATCTTGGGGATTATCAAAATACCAGCTAGTGTTTGAAAAGACTAAAAAAAAAAAAACCAACTTCAGCACTGGTGAGCAAGCCTCATGACGATCGGCTTAAAGAGCTCAATTGTTTTAGCTTACTAAAGAAAACTGAAGCTGCTGAAATCACACCATAAGCGAACTTGGAGGCGAGAAAGTCAGATGACTTTAAAGTGGTGTAAGGCAAAACAAAATCTAGAGACCGAAGTCAGACAAATTCAGCCTTGAAATGCAATGGAGGCTTTTCACCCAAAATAAGAAAAGATTTTAATAACCTACCAGCTTTTATGCTGGGTGGATTCATTATTACTTGAAAACTTTACATCTGGACCCAGTATCTTTCCAAACAAACTGTTTTGATCAGGTTTTGAGTAGCTGTCATAACATGGGCCAAGTTGTGAGGCTGATATGCATACTTGTAATGGGCTTTGCAATTGATTATCTGAGCTCTGCCAATTCATGGGGAAATACAAATAAAACAGTCTTCCATCACTTGGGAAAGGGCCATGCTTGGACTTCTAAGACATTATTAATATCTCACTCAGTAAATGAATCAGAATATTTCATTTCCCCCTCCCACCCTGCTATTTTTAGAGGACAGGTCATGGTAGACATTAAATCTGTTTAGACATCTCAGTACTGCAACTTTGACAGAAAGCAAAATGTTAGATTTAACCGATGTATTATGAAGTACGGAGAATTTCACTCACGTTACTAAGGCAGATAAACATCATAATTTGTGACTGTACAATTTAATCACAGTATCTTAAGGGACTTACGATAGGAAGCTAAGGCCTACTGTGTCATTAGGCAATAAAATTAATAACTAATCAAAACCCTTAGAAAATACAGGCAACGGAAATGCTCATTCCAGTACCACAGCATGTCCCAGTAGCAAAGGAGTAAGCAAACAAACAATCCCACATCATCCCCTTTTGGGCTGGCAAACACACAACAGCCAGCCTGTCTCAAACCAAGTGCAGCTCTAGAAGAGCTCAGAAAAACTTGTCATGAATAGTTTCAGTTCATTTTCTTTCACATACTTTTGTAATTTTATTCTCAGGAATGAAACGCTATTCACAACTTTAAATCCTACATACTCACAGGGCAGACTCCAGAGCAAAGGAGGAAGATTGACAGGGAGAAAGCAAGCAAGAGCAAGTGGGTGAGCACGACACAGGGGGAGAGCAAGATACTAAAACTCACGGATGAGTACAAACAACAACTGAGGCTTAGAGTGCTCCCGTCTTCAGCATAAGACAGCAGACAGCAGTTCATCAGGGTAGTCTCTATCAGCATGTAGAGACCCCTCTCTGGTGCCTGATTAATACGCCCTGTCACAGTGCCTGGAGCCAAAGACTGATTTAAAACTTCCTGCGACCTATCAGCTGTATAGTTTGTTCAGTTAGAAAGTGCAAAGCCAGCTGGTCTTATGGGGAAAAAGTCCTGAAGCCAAACTAGCTCTAGTACCGTACAACAAAAGCAACACTCTTAAATGCATAATATACTCAGAACATTACTATTATTTTCTCTCCTGCTATTAAAGAACAAGTGAAAAAAGCACTCAATAGTACTATCAGACAAAATGGCAAAAAAGTTTTTGTGCAACTGTCAACTGACACAGCAGCTTAAACCTCTGAACTGATGGAGTGGAGTATTTATTTTTTTTTTGAGTCATGTAAGTAAAAGTGTCACATAAAATATAATCTACTATTATTATAGACTATTTTAAAACCATCTCTGGTAGAAAAAGTTTCCACCTATGTCAAAGGTTCATCTAGTGCAAGTTCCACATGACACAGTTTAGACTACGACAGCTGGTAATAAAATCTCCAAGATCTCTTAGCCAACGTTTACAATTGCAAATGAAGAAAAAGACTGAGTGTCACTAAGGATCAACTCATCTTCTACCGCAGACGCCAGGATTCTGGTCCAATCTTAGCTGCTGCATTGAAAAGAAGAGGTGCTGGACAAGCGCTTTTAAAACTACCTGTGGTTGGTTTAGTTCTGACTTACCAAGTACAATGTTCATATTTTTGCCATCTCTTTCTCCCACACATACCATCAGATTTGGATACCACATGAGATATGATTCATACTATTCTTTAGAAATGTATTTTAATAGACAAGCTTCACATTTGAAAGAGTCTTTTGAGTTTTGAAAATTTCAGGCCTTCAGTGAAAAGCATGTCACATCACTTTATTGCATACACTTTTTTCCGCAGCAACTTTTCCCAGTCATATTTAATCATTGTTAAGATTGATTTTTCTTAGTTGATATCATAATCTAGTACATTTCTTTGAAGGAAAACAAATTCATCCACCTCACACTGCCAAAACACAATCTAGGCAGTTCCCTTCACAGAATTACCTTCTAATAATTTTGAGGTAATAGAAGGTATGGAGATCAAGAGGAGGAACCCTCTGCACTAAAGGCAATGCCTAGTAATTTCCTGCCATCCACCTGTATATCCTTAAGTATCTACAAAAACACTATGTGAAAACACATAGGGAATAAACGTGCACTGTAATACAAACACAGGCTAAATTGGCTTTCAGGTGTTTATGCAGGGATATGCAAGCAACCAATTAGAATGCAAAGCTGACTTCTACCAGCACTAACAGAAATTAAATGCAATCTAACTGGGAGTCAAACACATCTGAAGAATACTTTTAAGTCAGTTACTTCAGAATATCCAAGTCTGTCACCAAATACTGTAAAATTACGTTAAAACTACAGGAATTAACTCCGTGCTTGGAATCAAATTATAATCTCATCCTAACACTTTCTGAAAATTCTTTAAATACATAGACTTTTATGATGAACAGTAATCAGTACAAATGAACAAACCAAAGTTAGACACATCTGCACCCACTTTTTTAAAAAGAGTAACATTACTGAAAATATCTAGAAATATTAAAAGCAGCATTACTGAAAATAATATACATCAACCTTCTCAAAGCCTATCTCGGCATCATCTTTATTTGCGTTTGGTCTTTTATTCTTAGATATTTTGGGTTTAAGATACAGCAAGTAAGGGTTTCCAACTGAAAAGATAATGAGAATCAAGATAAGTACTACTGGCTAAAGGGATAGATATTACTGAATTAGATTTTTTTTTTTTAGAAGCTTTACTAGCATGAAATCATGTGATATCATAGAAAATTTCCCTCATGGCTTAAAGGTCTGTACCTTATTCAGACAGCAAAAGCTCCTTTTCGCAAACCCATTTACATAATTGCTGTGAAGAGACTTAAAAACACCCCCAAACTCAACACCTATCAGAGAACAAACAACTTAACAACCAAACAAAATGCTGTGAGTGAACTACTTTTCCTGATACATACTTTTTGATACTTATACAAACCTTACCATCTGCTATGATCTCTTACAAAATAACCGACTTCCGTTCTCAAGCAAAGGTTTCACTATGACAGTAAATGTCTTATATCTAACATTAAAAGTTACTTCAGTCTCATTGCAAGACTGTATGTTTGTACAGCCATTAAAATCTGTTATAAAGTAGTATCAGACTATTCAGTACTACGAATAAAGGACTTTGACAGTTACAGGTACAAAACTTAAACATAAACAGATGAAAATGTTTCAAAGATGAAGTAGAACAGAACTGTGTGATTTATGGAGAGGCTACATGCACTCTGCATAAGCTTTTAACCACACTTAATTCCAAACTTCATTGTGACCTTAATGCTATAAAAACTAAGGGGACATCAAAAAATTGTAAGGATTACAAGGAATATATCTCTAAATAAACTGCTGAGAAAAACACAGCACTGGTGTATTGAAACAGGAAAAAAAATATTCAAAGGTAGTTTTGGATTGCAAAGTATACAATCAGAAGACAAAGGTAAGAACAAGATGCAAGACCTATGCCATTACTTTCACCTTATAATGCCAACAAGAAAAGAAGCCTACGCAGTGGTCAAAGGAAAAGTGCTGCTCCTGAAATGTTTGACTTAGACCTTTCAGAGGGCACTTTGCATTCAAAGCAGTTTTCACAGTTAGTTATTTTTATTGACAGAATCAGCTTTTCTTTAAAAAAACCCCACACAAACATAATCTATACCAGCCTTTGCAGTCTCAAGTATTACACACTTACAACATAATGAATGGTAATTACCTATTAGCATAAACACAGTCTATTTTGTCTTTGATAATTCATACAACTAAAGGGTCCAGCAAAGATGAGCATACAGTTTTACCATAATGTTAGAAAAGGGAACATATAATTCTGAAAACAGATTATGACACCTCAGTGTAAGAGTTTGGTAGAAGTGGCTTTATTTCATTGTCTCCTACCTGATAAATTCTAAATGGGATGTATCGAAATCCACTATCTTCTGGAGGATACTCCATGAGTTTTCGATTTATTGCCCAAAATTGCTCAAATTTATCTGTGAAAGTAAAATTAGATTTCGTTAATAACATATATTCTTTTTCAGCTAAAAGAGGTAAATGAGACAATTGCAAAAACATGCAAACTTTTCTTACATAAATTTGACCTGTATGAATTTATTTTCCCCGTATTTCTCTTCCCTGTTTAGCCTGAAGCCAAAGGTAAGTCAGCTGCATTCTCCTATGAAAACAGTGATGTGGCAATTTACCAAACTGAAAGAGAAAGCAACCTGAATTCATATTTTATCTCCCACTGTCAGGGAAATATTGGGCCAACAAATTATGGGTTTCATTACCTCAATTAACAGTGCCTGTTTCTCCACTCCCTGCTCCTATTGGTCCATACTGTCTCACAGTTTGTTAAAAACATCTAATTGTCCTTAACTATAGCTGAACAACAGGTGTAAAGTATACAGAAACTAAAGCAGTAGAAAAACACCTTGAGGAGTTTACATTTGGATATGTAAATCTTAAAATAACCTGCAACAGTGTATGATATAATCAGAATATACACTGCCTGTTTAATGACACAATCTGAAAATAAAAGTTTATGTTTGAAACACATTTTTCTTACTATTATTCAAGTAACTAGGTTTAGTAAAGTAGCCTGAGGCAGCACACCATTTCATCCTGTACAGACATTACAAGAACTGAATAGTTTATTGTGCTTAAAATGTATTAAGGACAGCATAGGTCTAGAGCAGTAAAGGCTTTCATACATGCAAATCAATTATTCAAAACAAGGAAACAGCCAATAGCAAAAGTGACAGAAAAGAACACGAAGAGCTAAGATGAATAAAGCTGCTGCTAGCCTTACTGGAGAAAGCAGCTTTAGAAGGGGAAGAGCAAGGGATAAACTTCCTTACAGGCCCTAACTCTCCCAGACACCAAACACAGCGCATGTTTCTTCATAAGAAACAGAGTCTCCAATTTTTTCTCCTCGGCACAACGTTCAGCTGAGTCTCAAGAAGCCTGGCAGTATAACTGTTACAGAATTCAGCCCTCCTGAAACAAGGTAAAACTCAGATGAAATCTATTCACGGAACAAACGTTCTTCCCGCTTCCAAAACTGCTGATAACAATTAAAGCAATTGCAGAAAATTAAGATTTGCTTCACTCCAGTGTACAGTACAGACGCCTGTCAGTGCGCTAGAAGACATAGTTCATACACATTGCAGGATTTATAACATGTTGCTTTTCCTCACTAAATGCAACACAAGGCAGGAACTTCCAGGAAACCGTAAACAAACTCCCACCAGGTATTCTGTAGCAGCACTTCCCAGTACTTATCTCATAGTACTTCCACACCCTGATTAGCAACAAGTGCCTCTTGACAAGCACTTACCTGGGCTTCAGTCAGCACCACCATGCAGGCACCTGTCCGAGATAGGGAGCTGCCTGGACACAGGGTGCTACCCCATAGCTCACTGGCTGGGAAGCTCAGTGACGATCCTGGAGCCGACTGTACCCAAGCAAGCCTGCACTATTGAACTGCAGCCTAGAGAATCAGATTTACTCTTAGAATGTCTGACACAAAGAATGAATGCATCCTCCTCATGAGCTCTATCAATGGAAAGGTGAAGATTTAGCGTACTTCCCTCATCCTTGGAGATAACATTGAGAATGGCTTACAGCTTTCACTCAGATCGTGTGGACAGGCATCCTACAGTAGGCATTGATCGATTTATACTTCAATTACCACTTCTGACTATAAACTCAGTTGCAAAAGCTATGGTGATACACAAAACAAAACCAAACCATCAAGACCTACTGAAGCTAGTGAGCTTCAGCAGACTCTTAAATAAGGGATCTACATGTTTGGAGACATCCTACCTGAACAAAAACAAAGCAAACATTAGCTTCAATTAGTTGTTTAATGCTCATATTACAGTAACTAGGAAAGCTGGGTGAATAGCTTGCTGTCCTCAAAATCCAATAGAGATGAGCAACACATCTTACAGGTCAGAAGAACAAGAAATTCTGAACAAGTAACACACTTACAATAGGAGCTTAAGTATATTGTCCCTTGAGGCATATATGGCAAACAAGTGAATTGAAGGACAAAAAAAAAAAAAAAAGTTAAACAGTGGTAATGTACAATTAACTCACTTTGTTCTTCATGCCAGCTTCCTCACCTCCCAGAAATCATGCAGGTAATCTTATTTAAAGCAGATAAATTAAAAAATTTACACTTCTCCGATTATTCTCTGAATACTCAAAACAATGCTCAAGACAATCTATTGTTTTATTAAGGTGTTTAAATTTCTGACAGTTTCTGTAGATTCTATATATAACAGCAATAAATCTGCAAGAGTTGAATGACAAACTTATTGCATTTTGTAATCGAGTATATTCTGTCAACCCACCTGACATCCAGGGGAATGAAAAACTTTCTAGTAAATCAGTTAGACACAATGGAGTCAGCCATCTTAAGACATATCTCCACTATGTGTACAGCACTGTCTGAAGACATCTAAGCTAATTCATCCTCATAACCTTATATTGCTGTCCTCCAAATATCTTTCCACGGATACAATATTTTTACTACAGGAAACTGAGTTGGGTGTAAGAAAATCAACACAAATTTTTAAAGCAAGCAGCAGGAAAGGCCATCCAGTTCGCATACTGACATAGATGACCTGGCAAGAGCTTTTATTAGCATTAGGAGTGTCGGCTGAATGCCAGAATTCCAAAGCTCCAAAACAAAATCCAAAAATAACTGCTTTCACAGAAATCTTAATACTCAAAGCTTAAAACAAACAAAAAACCGAGCACCACCCAACACACATCCACACCCCAATCCCCTTGAAAATGTAAGGGAAAGTATTCATCATTCTCCCATATTTATGTGTCAGTACCTCCTGTTCATGCAAAACAGAGTTAAGGAAGCTATTAATACTACAACGAGCTATAAGAACTAATTAGTGCTTTGGCTAGACAGGACTTAAAGGCAGAAGGTGCTGGCCAGAAGTCTGGCAATCAAAACAAAACTGAGTTTTCATTAAGCCAGTAAACACAGAAGTAAGCCAGTAAACCTACCAGCAAAAGCACTTTACACTCATCTCCTTCCCTTGTGAAAAGCTTATGCAGTCTACATTACAGCTGAACCCCCATAATAGTCAAATCTGATTACTTTTGTTTTCCACAATCCATCTGTTTTTAAGAAAGTGCTTGACCGATGTGTTAAAGAGTTTCTGTATTAGCAAAAAACAGTACTTGCAAAAGGCAGATGTTCATATCTGAACAACAATATTTAAAGCAATGGCAATAAGATTCAAACAGAAGTGAGATTAGTGACAGTGTAAAAGTTTCAGATGACTCTATTAAATCATATTTCTTAAACAAGAGAGGATGGTTGCCATATAACTTCGCCTAAAGTGAAATATAAAAACTTTTATCTCTATGTTTTATCTCAAAATCAGAAAGTTAATAACCAAATAACAGAGGAGAGGTCCAGTTGGAAAAAAAAAAAATCTATCAGCCAAGTCACTTATATTTATAAATATTCATTTATAGAAATGCATCACTGAGTGCCCAAACACCAGACAGACATTAGCCTTTAGAACTACAGAGATGCACAGAATCTAAGCAGAGCTTTGAAAACATCTATTTACATATATAGAAACAGTACGAGTTGGCAAAACTACAAGGACTTAATGTTATCCATAACAATAATCTCAGTACACAAATTCATTACGCAAGAAATTAAACCTTGAACGTAAATTTACAAACACAGCGTGCCACGTTATGCATCTAGGGTTGAGAAATCTGCCACTGAAATTGTTCATGCCTTTAAAGCGATGTTTAAAACCGTTTAAGAAAACTACCATTACAGGAAAAGACTTTTGAGAGTTGTTGTTTCCTCCATTAAGCAAGACTGGAGATCCTTTAGCAGTCATGAAAATCAATCCAAATTTATAACTGTTATATTAAAAAATTGTTGGTAACTCCAGTCATAGTTTGTTGTTAACAGACAGTCACTGCTGAACGTTTTACTATTAAGCAGTGTTAACTAAGGATTAGTCCAGGCTGAAATTCTGAAGGCTGGGCCTCTCTCTCAGGCTGGGGGCAATGTTCTTCATACAACCAGAAAAAAATAGTTTAATTCGTGCTAGCGTCTTACAGTCATTCTCTGAAACTCAAGTGCTGTCACGGTTCAAGTAACTTGAAATTTCACATGGATCTTGATGTTAGATGTGTCTCTTCCACCCACCTGACTATGAAAATGGTACCAGGATGGATCACTGAGTAAAGGGCACTGCTTGAGTGCTTGCAATCAACATATGCATTTCAACGCAGCACAGCTTTAAATCAGCATACACAAACAATATGGGCAATTATCTCAAAATAAGAAATTGTATCTACAAGTAACTTGCAATAAGACACAGTGGTCACAGCATATGGCCAGTAAAATGGAGTTCCCACTGTACAACAGTGGGCAAAAGTACTAAAAAACCCCACCCTAATCTTTAAGCTTTTCAACAGAAATATCTTACTAATAAGGAATTGTTTTATTTCTATATTTGACATGGATTCAACTGCTATCAGAGTACTGACTCCAGAACTGGATATATTTCAAGAATGCTGTCAAGAGGCTTTAAATAACAAAACGCAAAATAAATACAAAAAAAGAGGGAAATATTGTTTAAATTCAAAAAGAAAATGGTAATTCACAACTTTTATCCTCCAGTATCTTTTTAGAAAGTCAAAAAAGTGAACAGGTGTAGCCCTCAGGGTAGCATATATGCATGATTTTTTTGCTGGACTATTCATGTTTTTTTTCTTCTTAAAGCCAACTAGTTATGTAAATTTAAAAAAAAAATGCTTGGAATGGAATTGTATCTCTAGATCTACACAAGCAATACCAATTTGCAGCTTGTATAAAAATCTGTCCAAACCTTGAATTTAAAAAACACAGAACTTTTGTCTATTCTCAGTGGTTCACCACTGTTTAATAACCATATGAACCACAGAAATGATGCACAGCTAGGAGTACTTG